GAGAATTTATAGTTCACCAAATTTCGAAGATAAACATAGATGTATTGTAACTTTTTTTCATATTGTACATTTATTTTACTTTTGTTGATACAAAATATAATTTAAAAAACCTTTATCTGAAATTTTTAGATACATATTTTTTTTTTTTGTTTTTTCATTGCGAAGGCTTTTCCTCATTTCTTCATAGAAAAATAATTTTTAAATCAAGAAAGATTTCCTTTTAAAAATTAATCCATGTTTCTGTCTTTTTTATATTTAATATATTTTAATGAAATTTCAATTCAAAGTTATATTTGGTTTTGTAATATAGAAAACGACATGAAAATAACTACGATTGTGCGTCTCTTAGATAAGGAATTGTTATATGTAGCTCTTTTTAAACAGATGCCATTTCAAGTTAATTTAAAAATCCTTCAGTTTGAGTTAGATGAAATAAATTGAATCTTAGAATTTTTTTTCAGATTTGCAATTGTTTAGAAATTACAGTGTCCTGAAATGAAAGTGTTGGTATTGAAGAATTTCATCTTACCGTGACACTTTCGAAAGCAAAATTTAATTTCAGACTAATGCGGGGTGTAATGAAAATGAAAGATATCCCTTGAATCTTAAGCTTTCTTTTTGGGTGTAAAAACTACTAATTTTTTTCTTCTTAGTGGTGTCTTGATGCCAATATTAGTATATTTAGTTCCTATCGTTGCCATGGTACTTATAACGGCAATACAATATGTATTTAATACAACATTTAATTAAGTATTATCGGTTTTAGAGATTAGAGAAATAGTTTGGAGATTTTTTACCTATTATTTACCCATCAACTAATATTAATACCGTCATTCGGGGCTACTTTGTGCAGCGGGGGCTACTTTGTGCAAATTCGAATTTTTTCAAGTGCTGCTATTCAGTATTATGTTTATTTCACGTTAAAAATGTGTGGAATTTGAAGATAGAAGTCTCTTCTATTACTACAGACATTTTTTAGAATTTTAAAACAATCTCAGAGTGTGTTTCGGTTATCCAATGTCAAAAATTTTCCGAGGACGTCGGATGTCGAAAAATGTGCGTGGAAACTTTAGCTGTGAAATGCAAAGACGTTGATAAAACAATTGTCGTAAGTGCAACATTTTTTATTTATACATTAATAAACAATTGTATCCCGTTAGCGTTAAATTTTTTTAAAAATTAATAACAAATAAACGGAAAATGAAAAAAAAATGCACTGTGGGGCTACTTTGTGCAAAGTTTCATTCGTTTTTTTCCGACAGAAAAGTTGTCAGACGTTATAAAAAAATACCTCGAACGAGAAATTACCTTGATTACACTTTAGAAAAGCTGCAACAATGTTTGCAAGCAGTTGCGGTGGTATGTCGATTGCAGAAGCTTCTCGGAAGTACAAAATCCACAGAAATACTATCTCTAATAAAATTCACAAGAAATACGTGAAACGTGCTGGTAAACTATTATTTTTCTTCTAATGAATTAATCAAACGATTTAACACATAAAAATATATTTTATAGGACATCAGGTGATTTTGACAGAAACTGAAGAGCAAGTTCTGTCGTGTTCATTCAAGCATGTTATGTTCAAATGTATCAATATTATAAATGTTAATGAGTATGTAATAATTATTAGTTTTGAAATATCATCCATTTCAATGTTAAAAAAAGTATATGGTTTCCTTTTGTTTAAACTCAAATGTTTTGAAATAAACATTCTTTTAAAGAAAAAATTCTTAAAAAAAAATGTTTTTTTTAACGCTGAAAATTATTTTCAAATTAATATCTTTACATATCTTGATGTTTTTGTCTTTTAAAATGTCAACAATTAACTTTTTTAACAATTTTATATCAATCTTTTACTAAAAACATGATTATTAAACTGAATTCCCATCGCTGCACAAAGTAGCCCCATTTAGGGGCTACTTTGTACAAGGTATGTTTTGACTTATTATTCGTAAATATTACATACAATCATTGCCAATATTGATCAAATTCACTCGTCTGAGTCCAGTTATGAATATCGAATAATATCGATAAATTTTACTAAAGTTTGAATTAACATAGTTTTTTTACATGTCAAAGTTCAAAAACTGCGAAATCCTGCACAAAGTAGTAGGTAGAATGACGGTACCAATAGTTGATGCTAAGTAGTTGATATTATTAATACTAAGGTCTATAAAAATAGGTATTGGGTAATAGATTCGTTACCACCTTCTGAAGCGGATAAGTACCTTAATGTCACCAGCATTGCAACTAATATGCCGTTCAATGCAACTAATATGCACCGAAGAGCCATTACATTATGACCACCCTGCTAATAACATGTAGGACCACCTTTAGCCCTCAAAACTGCTAGCACCCGCCGTGGCATTGATTCCAGAAGGTGCTGATTGGTAGTCTGAGGTATCTGGTACCAAGCGCTCACCAACTGGTTCTGCAATTCCCTCACATTGCGAGGGAGTAGCGTGGCAGCACGAATTTGGTTTTCCAAGTAGGACCACAAATGCTCTATTGGATTAAGGTCAGGTGAATTTGGGGGCCAGGACATGACTTGAAAGTCACTGGAATGTTCCTCGAACCAATCTGTGACGATTCGACCTTTATGACATTGTGCATTATCCTGTTGGTAGACACCATCCCTCGCAGGAAAAACTGTTGCCATGAATGGGTGAACCTGGTCTGCAACTATGTTCAAGTAGCTTACAGACGTCAGGGATTGT